CAGACATTGTGGTTTATTTTGAGTCCATCCCACATACAGAAGTCTGTAACATAGCAAGTAGCACAATTTGAAATAGTAATAAAAGTGTTTTGTATTTAAAAATGTATGTCTTTGTGGTGGCATGATGGCTGAGTGTTATAACAGATACCACATGGTCAAAAATGCCCTGAGCAGTGAATACTATGAAATAATCTTGGGGGAAAAAAACAAAGGTCTTCAATGACAATCAAAAAGCTTGTGGCCTCAAAGTCAAAGGCAGAGAAGTAGAAGGTTGTGATCTTTTCACTAAATTTGTTGACAGCTGAAAAAATAAAGAATAACACCATCCTTTACAATGATGGAGCCTTTTTCAGCCTTTCACACTTAAATAAATAAACAGAATCTTTAGCTTATAGGTTGGTTTCATACGACTGAAGTCCCTCTTTTGCCATTGATTTGATCCCTATGAACTTATCTGTGTATAAAAGTTACATATTTTAAAGGTTTTCCATTAAAATAATCCCTTCGTGCCTTCAAGTGGCTTAAAAGTAAGTTCTCTAGAAGGTCAGGCTGTATATAGTCTTTGCCTCTTTTGGTTCTTATGTTTGTTGCGTATGAAACTCTAGAAGATTGAATCCATGTTTTAAAGGCTGTTATTAGTACGCTGCAGTTTTTAGGAGGAAATCCTCAACCATGGTGTTGTTTGCTTGTTTTTTCACAACATTTTCATAACATCAACATCTCCTAGCATATATAGAACACCATATGGACATGTTAGCAAGGAAAAAGAAAAAAAAAATCACTGAATAAGGTCATGATGTGAGCAAAAATTCCTTTATGACCATGTTCATCTTTTTGTTTTTTCATTTTTTTTTTGCGGAGTGTGGGAGGTGGGTATAAATACTGTGGCCACATTTCATGCCCAAAAAGCAGCTGTTGGTTTTTGTTATAATTTGGAAAAAAACAATAAGACTTAAAAACACTTCTGAAAATGTCAGGAGACAGGAGATTATTATCCTTTGCGATGAATCCAACAGCTGCAGTACTTTTGTATCATAAAAAATAAGCACTGTCACATTTTCAAAATGCTACCTTCTATATCTAGAGCACAAAAAAGGTAAAACTTTTGGTCAAGTTCTGTCATTATTCCTTGAAATGAAAATTTCTCAGTAACCAAAACCCTCAAAAGACAAAACTGTAGTGCAGCCAAAACACTTTGTAGAATGTGTTGGAAAATAGATGAAGAGAAAATCCCAAAGTGACTCAATAACAGAATCACCTGCACTGATTTATAAGACAATTGTTCTCAAAACTCACTGAAGCTGAAGCAGTTAGTTGAGAAGTATTTTAATTATTGTGAATTACATTAAAATAATCTTCTAGTATTCCCTTTCTGATGAGAGGATTGACTAGTTTATCTAATATCATAGTATATTGAATATCTTAAGGTTTTATTACATCCCTTTGGGCTCTGAGCAACTGTGATGGACATTTTTCAAAGCTTTAATGGGTTAAACTGTTCCACAGAATAATCAGTAGTTTTGGCCCGAACAACAAATGAGGTGGAATGATAAAGAAAATACATGTACAAATATTTCTGGTATTATTTAGTGGATTTTTACATCAGATCACCTGGAGTGACAACTAATCAGAAATTGCTTGCAACTGCTCTTCCGTTTGATGAGTTGAACTGTTATTATATTTTTTTTATCAAGGATATGATATGTGCTGAAAAGTCTTTTACCCATTTCAAACTCTGAGAATTGTTAGAAGTGGGAATTAAAGGTCAAAAAGATGTGCAATGCATTAAAACATGAAGAAAAGAAAATTATACTTACATCAGAATGAAACACCAAACAAATTAGATCCACATATGCACTAATGATATAGTTATTGTTTTGTTACCTTACATTGATTAAAAACAACAATTTATCATCTTACCACCTTGTTTAGTATCATCTCCAGCTCCCAGCCCAGCTTCTCATTGATTGGCTGAGACTTAAATTAGTCCACCAATCACAGAGCGTTGCCTGAAGGTTTCCATTTTTCTCGCTGCTCTCCCGACCAATTAGGAAGAGGTTGCTGGGCAGAGAGACAGGAAGGGAGAGAGAGAGAAGGAGAGAGATCAGTGGAACTGAGCTCAGAAATAACCAATTATAGATAAGATCAGATGGTAAAGCAATGGAGTCCCTCTGTGTTCCTGTAGCTGTCTCTCTCTCACACACACACACACATCCATCCACGTAGACACACACACACAACAAACACAAGTAGGTCAGAAAGCAGCCTTGTGAAGCCGTGTTGGGTCGGCTGGTGTTTCTGCAGGGTGCTGTTAGCTAACTGGCCTCCAAGGTACAGCGCTCCATCTGTGGATGGTGTTGTGATGTTGGTGCAACTGTTGTTGAGCTGTTGTGTGCACTGCTGGACGTGCTGCCAGGTTTAATTTACATGAGCAAACGCAATGTGTGAAATCCTGTTGGTTCTGCAGGTCACGAGACGAGCGCATGATTCACAACATCACAGGTCTGAAACTAACTCTGTGACCTCGCGTTCATGTCACCTTCTCGTTTTCACCATTACACTTGCGCTTTAATGTGTGAAAAAGCTGGAGCTGGGTTGAGCAGAGTGCAGTTGGACTTGACATGAAAGCACATCAAAAGACGTGTAAAAAAAACGTCCTCTTGCACCGTCGTTTCAATTTAATGATATGGCGGTTCAAGAGAAGTTCCACTAGAAATGAGCACAAGCTGGCCTGATAGTCAGGCAGTTGCTGTTTTGTCAAACTTCGTTATTCAGTTATGTTTACGTAGATGCTTCAGGCATCGGGCCTCATGCAAGAACCAGTTATACAGATTGGATGACTACCACAGACCTGTCATTTAAGCCCTAAACTGAGAGACTGCCTTCTTTCACATGGGAAAACACACACATTTGACTTAGCACACCAACATACACCAAAGCTGATGTAATTTAAAAAATACATATACCAAACTTAGTACTCCGTTGACATTCTTTTCACCAAACAATGTTTATGCCTGTTCAATTTACTGAGATGCTTATTCGACACATTTATTGGTATATGTTGTCACAGCAGCTTCTACATTACAATAATTAAGTAGGAAGTCAAGCTGAAAAAATCTGTGCTGAGTGATTGTTGTCCCCTTGGCAGCATCACATGAGTCATTCTGCTTTATTTTAAAAAAGCGCTCTTTTGTCTTGCGATTGTGATGTCCTTTGTAGATTTGTAAACTACTGTTGCAAAGCCTTAAGTTTGGCAAGTGAGCGGTGGATTTGACTGGAGAACCAGAGGACGCTAAGAATTCAGTCAAAATAATTAACAAAATAAACATCATGCTGTTTTCAAAAAGTCTTCATACTAGTGATTGAGACCACAAACTCATTGGGAACATTTTTATTGATGTAACAAACAAAGCCCAACGTAGGGTTGTTTTCTTATAGATAATCAGACTTATTTTGTCGCCCCCTGCTGGCTGTTAGAAAAACAAATGTAGCTTTAAAACATTTCTATGCTGACTTCATTTTTCAGACTCAGAATCTACATCTGCCTATTATGAAGACTCTACGATTCCAAACCTTTGTGATTAATTTTGTGTCACGGGGCTGAAGACATGACTGTAATGTACGTAAACATTTGTTTTGCTTTTCTGGTGAATTCTGAATGCAGAGTTGAAGCTCTATAGTATACTATTCATCTTTTTACTCTTGTTTGTGAATGAAATTTTCCAAACAAACTGGAACACAAATCCTTATATTGAACCTTTAAGGATGCAATGCTGACTGTGCTCATGTTCAAATGTCCTGAATGTCCATCTCTTCATGACTAGGTGTTATTGATCAGTGTGTACAATCAAAAGAATCTAGAAAATCCCTCTTGGAACACAAACAAGAGAATTTTGGGTCAGAATATGTTCTTGCATGAGGTCTGTTGTGTGCCTCCTTTGCAATTCCAAAGAAGATTTTTTGGGGGTGAATTTAAAACTCTTATCCCCATTAAAATCTAATACAAGGGAGTTTTTTGTCAGCAGGAAACAAACCACACAACGTTACTGAAGTTTGATCTTTGCATGTTCGGCTTCATGCATGTTTCCACTTGTGTGCAGAACTGTGCTTCATCGTCACCACTCAGAAAAAAAAGAAAGGCTTTGTCAAACACTTGTAAACATGTCAAATACTGGCCATTGATGCTAAAAATATAGTAATTACTCCTACTTATGGGACTAATCAAATATATAATATGTAATTTGTGTATATGTTTGTGGACAACACGCCTTGTTAGCCTGGATGCTAGTGGAAAATCATCATCAGCGTATATGGTTCGAATAAGGAAGCACATATCCTGTTTTAACCAAATTACCAATAACTTAATTAAGGACATTCTGTCATGCTGTCAGTTGCTGTTATTTCCAGAATCACTTGGTGGACAACTAAAGCTCAGCATTTCCTGCCAGTTTTTCTAGGTTGCATCTGCCCGACTCTTTAGATGTCCCAGTAACCTCCTCAGTTTTAATGAAGTCTTTAGGATAGGAAGTCCTTCATCAGAAACTTTCCCTCTTCAGTACATTTCAACATCATGATGTGTCTCTTGAAGCAGTTGTTCTGTCACCCTTACAGTTAAATTCTCTTAATCCTTTTCCTAATCTTAATCATTTTCATTTAACTAAGCACAGTGTAGCTCTCAGTAGCGTTTGCGCTGTTATGAAACAGTTGGGTATCAGTGTGGGGAGCTTTATGCCAAGCAGCAGCTTCTCATCAGGAAGCTGCAGTGTACAACCCTCCAGTGGACTATTCTTAGATCCACTTTTCTAGGGCAAAACTATTATGCCCTCCTTCTTCTTACTGTCTCTCACATTATAGATCTTATCATCTTCCTGCATAGCTTATCTCATGTTTCTTTTTGAAAATTAACATGGATTTGCTGAATAATTGGGTTACATTAAGGTTGTAACGTCTTTTGTGGAGTAGTACACAATTCTAATGTTACAATCCAAATGTACGTGTAGTCCCCTCCTAATTTTTTGTTGTATATTGTTCCTGTATATATGTACATTTAGTCAGTGCTTACTGTATCCCTGGACTCTGGTTCAGTTATGGTTAATTGTTGGCGTGAAGATGAAGAAATGTGTAATTTTGAATAGTGTTGAAATTTCCCACAGTTTGGAAAGACCTTGAACTTTTAAGTTCCCCGTTTGTTATGTACATTGGTCAGTTGGTGGGCACCATGTTATTGTTTAGCCAATCAGTGCCAAGTCAGGATAATTTTGGTAGCCTACCGGGTTCTTAGTAGGGCGGGAGTTAACGCAGAACATGCTGCAGACGTAAGTGCGGAGAAAGGAGAGAAAACGGGAGGAAAAGGGAGATGTGAAGCGCTGTTTGTAAGTTCTTAAAAGTGTGTTAAATTGCTATATTGTAGGATAATTTAGAGCGGGTTGTTTATTAAGGGTATGTAGGCAGTTAAAACGGGAGAATTAGCCGGGTTTTGAATGAAGTATGCACAGTCAGACAGGTTGCTTTGTTAGCATGTGTCTCATAGCCGTGTGGGATTTTGTTTGCTAGCTAGCTGTGGCCTTGCTGCGTTGGGGGAGAAGAGACAAGTCTGTGAGGAGCACGGGGTTTTTTTTTGCTTCTGAGTGAGTATGGTTTATAAAACTATAAAGACGAGTAAATTTATGGTTTATTGACAGGATGTTTATTAGTGGTTTCTGAATCTTATTGATAGTGTGCTTCGGACACTGCCGCACCTGCTGCTGCAGTAGAGGTGCTCAGGGCTTCCCGCTGCAAGAGAAACCTGCTTCCTGCGCACGCGCGGACCAGGCCGCAGGGCCGTTTCTTCTCATCGCTCAGCTGATGGACAACTGAGTTGACTTGACTGCTATATCTGCTTTGTCCATGGGACTGTGAGTACAGACAGCTCTCCACCAGAGGTCTTACATGAGCTCCAACTGCGCGCCAACGGCCATGGTACCATAAACTGAATAACAAAATCCCGGGTATTATTTAGACATTGTTTAATTCATTTCTTTTAATTTTATTTTATTTGGGGTTTTGAAATAAATATTTTTGTGGGTCTGCATACAGAAGTCTTTGTGTTTGACTGTCATTTGTGTTTAAGATGTTTTAATTCATAGGAGGTTCATGTTATTTATGGTTAACAATGTTAGATCTGGCTTGTTAAAAGTGATGCATGGGAGTTTAAGCTCACCCCACAGTATAGCTATTCAGTAAGCTAACCGGGCCTCTCTGCCTTTTGTGGAGGTCATTTGCCTGTTCAACGGTTACAGTACTGCAGATTTCAAACTAATGTGTTTTGTTTGTAGCTCTCACCAATTCATCTCCCATGCANGAATGAAATTTTCCAAACAAACTGGAACACAAATCCTTATATTGAACCTTTAAGGATGCAATGCTGACTGTGCTCATGTTCAAATGTCCTGAATGTCCATCTCTTCATGACTAGGTGTTATTGATCAGTGTGTACAATCAAAAGAATCTAGAAAATCCCTCTTGGAACACAAACAAGAGAATTTTGGGTCAGAATATGTTCTTGCATGAGGTCTGTTGTGTGCCTCCTTTGCAATTCCAAAGAAGATTTTTTGGGGGTGAATTTAAAACTCTTATCCCCGTTAAAATCTAATACAAGGGAGTTTTTTGTCAGCAGGAAACAAACCACACAACGTTACGGAAGTTTGACCTTTGCATGTTCGGCTTCATGCATGTTTCCACTTGTGTGCAGAACTGTGCTTCATCGTCACCACTCAGAAAAAAAAGAAAGGCTTTGTCAAACACTTGTAAACATGTCAAATACTGGCCATTGATGCTAAAAATATAGTAATTACTCCTACTTATGGGACTAATCAAATATATAATATGTAATTTGTGTATATGTTTGTGGACAACACGCCTTGTTAGCCTGGATGCTAGTGGAAAATCATCATCAGCGTATATGGTTCGAATAAGGAAGCACATATCCTGTTTTAACCAAATTACCAATAACTTAATTAAGGACATTCTGTCATACTGTCAGTTGCTGTTATTTCCAGAATCACTTGGTGGACAACTAAAGCTCAGCATTTCCTGCCAGTTTTTCTAGGTTGCATCTGCCCGACTCTTTAGATGTCCCAGTAACCTCCTCAGTTTTAATGAAGTCTTTAGGATAGGAAGTCCTTCATCAGAAACTTTCCCTCTTCAGTACATTTCAACATCATGATGTGTCTCTTGAAGCAGTTGTTCTGTCACTCTTAACACACTTTACAGTTAAATTCTCTTAATCCTTTTCCTAATCTTAATCATTTTCATTTAACTAAGCACAGTGTAGCTCTCAGTAGCGTTTGCGCTGTTATGAAACAGTTGGGTATCAGTGTGGGGAGCTTTATGCCAAGCAGCAGCTTCTCATCAGGAAGCTGCAGTGTACAACCCTCCAGTGGACTATTCTTAGATCCACTTTTCTAGGGCAAAACTATTATGCCCTCCTTCTTCTTACTGTCTCTCACATTATAGATCTTATCATCTTCCTGCATAGCTTATCTCATGTTTCTTTTTGAAAATTAACATGGATTTGCTGAATAATTGGGTTACATTAAGGTTGTAACGTCTTTTGTGGAGTCGTACACAATTCTAATGTTACAATCCAAATGTACGTGTGTATGATGTACAATCCAGGAATCAAGATGTACAACATTATTATGACAAATAGTTCTCCTGATGGAACCGTTCTGTCACACAGGATTGTTTCATGGAACGTCAGAGAGTTAAAAATCTGATCGTCGGTTCTCTCTGTTTTCTCTGGCTCTGATAGATAATGTTATTTTAGCAACTGTTTAAAGATAACATGCCTTTTAAACCTGTTGCCAGCTCTTTTGTTAGAGTTATTTAATGAGAATTTGAGCTTTCCTTTTACTTTCCTCATCTAATATTTCAACTGATAAATCTCTAAACATTTTATAGCTTTCTCCAAAAACACATCACAGCAAATAGGACACTACTTTTAATTGGATATGTGCAGTTAAGGTTTAAAAATATCCCTACCAATACTGGCAAATTTGGAGCAAACTGTGGAATTTTAATTTTACTTTGTGAGAATTATATTAGCACAGCTTGCTCTCAGGAGTGTGAATCTATGTAATAAACTGAAACTAAGAATAAACTCTTCCGTGGCACACTGCCCAGATTAAGTCTGTGTTGGGAAACACTGGGCTCTTTCTCTACGCTGCTTTTGATCTTTGCATTCCTTTTGTAGAAAACCTAAAATAGATGTTGCATTGTCAGGCTTTGCAGCAAACAGAGGATGGCAACGTGGCCAGAAGCAGGGTAATAATTGAATCTTTTAGCAGAGAAACAAATACGTACCACGTGCTCATAGTATTCAAGAAGCATTATCTCATTTTGCCTTTAATTTATCTTCCAGTTTGTCCTTTGTTAAACGAAGGAAATCGACGTTGACCGTGCATTAAGGTTTTTTCCTGTATCCTGCCAGCTGCAGTTCAGCCAATCAGAACACGCGGCCGACAACAATGCCCATTGCCTCATGGGAAATATCGTCAGCACAACACACACATATACGCACACACTCATGTACATACAGACGCTTTATGTGCATATCAGCTTTCCACAGTATGCCGTAGACATCTGGTTAATAGAGCAAAATCTACTTTACAAACACACACTCTCTCACACACACACATACACACTCACATTCATGGCTTATGGATACGATAACTGTGTTTCCTGTTTATATAGCTGCCTTCCTGTTAAATTAGAGGGGGAAAGAGGCTAACAGACAGAGGGAAGTCTGTGTGTCTGTGTGTGTGTGTGTGCGTGTGTGTGTGTGTGTGTGTGTGTGTGTGTGTGGGAGGCTGATAAACAGAAAAGGCTCATCGCTGCTCTCCATCTTTCAGCATGGAGGGCTGCATCACTGAAATATTGATGAATCGACTCTGTGTGTGTCCATGTGTGTTTCCATGTGTGTACATGAAGAAAACTGTAGTTTCTTAACCAACACATGCGTACTTACTGAAACAGCACCAACACAGAACGGTAGACAAATATCTACACGTAAAGATAAAATATTAAATATATGTTTACCTTGTGAGGTGCAGAGAGGGAAAATGTGGTTTGGATGAATAAGAGGGATGTATTTTTTTGCTATTATTATCTTACACTTCATAATATATTAAGAACAATTATCAAAATATGTGAATAATTAGTGCAACCATTTTTACAAAAGCTGTGTAAAGACTTCAAAGTACATAATTAGCTAAAAACAAAGCTACTAGGGCTTCCTGTTTTTGTCATAAAGGAATAGTTTAACATTTTAGGAAACTTGCTGCTGTTGTTGAGAGCTAAAAGAAAAGTAAATGTGCAGTTAATTTGAAAGAAATGGGATCTTTTTACTAAATTTACTAAGCTTTCAAACGCAACATTACATACATGTTGAAATTATATGCTAAGAATGAAAGATGAAAATGCACACAGATTGAGAAAAATGGTATTCAGACACATCAATCCTATGACTTTTTTAGCTCACTTGAATACATCAACAGAAGAATAAGTCATATTACAAAACAAACTCACATGTCTGTCCTCATTTGGGCTTGACATAAAGCAGGATGGTGTTCTGCTGATTGCATGTCAGCTACTGGATCTCCCTCGTGTGTTTGTTAGTCAGTAGATGACTGACTGTGAGTAAACGATAATGAGATTGGAGCCTGCAAGTTGTGGCTGCTTAAGTGGTTTTTGCATCGACCAGGACTAATGTGAAACAGATTCTCAGAGATGTCCTGACCTTCTCCTCCCTTCTTTTGACCTTTGCCTTTCAAGCTCAGCATCTCGTGTCTTTTCCTTCTCACGTTCCTCTCTCTCTCTTATTCTGTGTTTCTGTCTCTTCCCAGCAAGACTTCTGTCTCTCTGCTGGGCGCACAAGACCTGTTGTCGTCACATTGTATTTATAGCCAGGTCGCTCCCAGCGGGCCCTGGCCTCGCTGTGATTGGCTGCCTGATGTGGATGAGCTGGCTCAATATGCAACACTTCCCATTCTCTTCACTTTCCCATCAGGAAATGGATCAGTCACAGCCAAAAGAATTTGAGCATGCACTTATGGGTAGATTATACACCCTCAAAGAAATATGCAGGCTGGCACTCCCACACACATGCGCTCTCAGTGAAGTGTAATGCATTTAGAAATGCTTCAGTGTTTTCTTTTTCTACTTTTAGCATCCTCCTGCAGACTCAACAACTCAGAGAACATGAGCGCTGAAGTCAGTGTGTTATTCTATACAGTGAATACATAAGTACCCACTATTCACTGCAACAGATTTTGGCTCTGACTGATTGGTGAAATGAAATCACATGTATTTGATGATTAAACATGAAGTGGTTCACATTGCTCACCTTAATCATCTTCAGTGGTTACTGTGCCTCACAGCACTATGTTTAAGAAGCAGCAGTCAGTGAATACAGGATCTTCACTGGTTTTAATTTTCAATTCAGATTTTCAGGCAAAAAAATTAAATTGTAGTTCATTTAAAGTTTTCATTCTTCATAAAAAGATACTCAGTTTTGTCTTTAATCAGTGATAGGGCAGCAAATGACGGAGCTCTTTGCAGGACATTATTCATCATAAAATATCGGGTCCCAAGGAAACTAAATACACTGTATTTTGTAATATGTTTGGTGCATAAGAAGAAATGTAATAGCAATTAGTTTTTGCTTCAAGGCCATTATTATAGAACACATAAGTAGTCTGCTGATTTAGATTTCTCTGGATGTTTTTTAAAAAATATCTAAATAGATGCAGATGAGGTATTGTCTTTTTTGTTCCACACACTACTTTGGGTTGTCAAAACCAAGTTCCTACATTTCCCACAATGCAACAGTTCAGTCTGATGCTGGGTTCCATTTAAACTGGGCATTTTCACTTAGAAAGATAAACAAAAATCTAATTTCGAAGCTGTAGGGCATGACAAAGGCATAATGTCATTGGTTTTTTACACATAAGATTTGAGTTTAAATTTCATTTGCAGCACATTTTATTGTATTATATTTTGACTTGAGCCTCATTTTGACTTTCTCATTCACTTCAAG